TTTACAGTTTAAAGAATGGAGAAAAACGCTCCGAATATTATTTTGGGTGAATAGTTGTTAGTAGGATTATGAGAATTTGGTTTTGCTATTTGGAAGTTAAATTATAAAATATTGTTACACAATTTTCATTTCTTTACAAAAATGTTGATGCCTAGGGAAAGACTCAATACGGATTTGTAAATTGCACATGCAGGAGTACGTTATTATAAAAAATTTAAAGAATATTTTTTATTCGGTAAAATTATAAGATGACGTACGTCATCATTTTTTTGGAGATACCTATAACTGAATAAATTTTGATTAACGACTTGCTAACATACTTACGATAGCCTTAAACACTTGCAAAATTTCATTGCTATTTCAAAGTTAAATTGTAAAATATTTTTATACAACTTTGATTTTTTTCCCCAAATATCTATATGTCTAGGGTAAAACTCAATTCGCATTCATAAATCACACATGCAGGAGCATGTTGTTTTATTTAATTTAAAGCATACTTATTCGGCAAAATTGTAAAATGACGTTATCATTTGGGGGAGGGGCATAAACGAAAATATTGTGATTAACGAATTACCATGCTTACAATAATCTAAAACCATTTGCAACATTTAAGAGCATTCACTTTTGCAGTTTCAAACTTAAATTGCAAAACGTCGTTATACAATTTTGATTTTTCTTTTCCCAAAAATTTGGATGTCCAGGGTAAAAACTCCACACGGATCCATATATCACAAATGCAGGAGTATCTTATTTTATAAAATTTAAATAATGTTTATTATTGTATTTTATAACAATCGGTCTAATAGTTTCGGAAGATTATCTGTCTAATGAAAATCGTCACAAACCGACAGACGATGGAAACACGAGATCAATACAATTCGTGTATTGCATGTTACTTCCTTAGCGAGTTCCTTAGCTTACGCTGGGGAAATAAAAATAATGGTTTTCTTGATTGTTGCAGCTGAGTTGCCTTGAAAATGCATTACGTATTTCTTTAGTAACGTCTAAAGATTAAACAAACTACCAAGGTATTAGAATAATTGTTTTCGAATAATTAACCACGGTGGAAGCTAAACTTGTTCATTCACCAAATTTTAAGGCTCTGATATTTGAAAAGACTGATTTTCTTAGTTTTATCTACCTACCTATTTTTGTGCCATATAATTCGCCATTAAAAATATCCAGTTAACTATCAGTATGACCTCATTTCAAAACATATTTTGTAATCAATATTTTTTTAAACATTGGTGTTAAATAATTTTAAAAACTTAATTCTAAATTAATAAAAATTTATTTGTAATGAACAATAAAAAAAGCTCTCCTTTTGTAATTTGGTGTCACACATGTCATCATTTATAACAATATTTTAATTATCACATTAGTGGTAGTTCAAAACACAATAAAAATATTAAACCATTACAAATCACAAATAAAGGAGTATATGTTACAATATTAATTTCAAACGGTACTTATCTGTATCTACCAAAGATGTTGGAAGTAAAAACCTAAAAGCCAAAATATTGAAAAAATTATGATTAAATTATTTGAATAATATGTAGACAATTATATGAAATGATATTTCACATAAAGCGCATTTAAAATGATTAACAACAATACATAACTGCAGTCGTGTTCTTAGTGCGTTCCCAGAATTTCAGGAAAGTTAAATGACCTGACTCCGGTAAAAATATATCCACTTATACATCAGTTTTTGGGACATGTGTTGTGTGTAAAACGAGACATAAATACCCTTACATAATAAAGGTATTTATATCAATAAAGCAATAAAACCGATTAACTTATTACGAAATATTTCTAAAAATACTATGCTAAATCGCATATTAGAGTGTAGTTTTAACATAGCTTTATGTATTTATTTTATATAAAGTCACAAATTTTCTGACGAACACTAAGTAACTCATTGTTAGTTCATGCTTTGTAATTAATGAAACTACCGTAATGTAAATGTAAAATGTTAGAAAAATATAGATTTTAATAGCATAATAAATTTTGCTTCTTTTAGGTTAACCTGTATTATGTTAAGTTTTAAATAGGAATGGAGCTTTAAATTATATTTTTGAAATGGCATAATCAGTTTTGTAGAGAAAATGAATAAGTAGTACATAATTTATTTACGTTTTACTTTCTTAACGATTGTGCAATACATTTCCGATAAATAGACGAAAAAAAACTGAAGCTTCTTTTGTCATGTTACAATATGATTTTTTTTTTCATTTCATTTACAATGTTGTTATAAAACTGAATGCAGTTTAATTTTATGTATATACATATTATTAAATGTAGGTGTAGTCTTCTAAATTTTCTAAGGTTATATGGCTGTTGTAAAATTAAGGTATTGTGAAGTCGAGAATGGAGCGGTTAATAAGGCAAACCCACAATTGTAAATCTTTTTGTCATCCATTTCATTCTGTTGGGACAAATCCTTCATTTATGACGGCAGGCTCGTGCAGCTGACCAGCGGCATAAAAGGGATTATTAATTCCCATTATTAAGTTTAGTAGAGCGATATAACCTTAGTGAATCTGGAAGATTATATATCTTGTATAAAATAGATTTATATGTTTCAACGTTTTTATAAAATCGCAGTTTTGAATAAATTAACATTTGAATGTATACCTGCCGAAACATTCACTTGTCATTCAAAATATAAGATACGAAAAAAGTAGTGAACGTTTAGATACATATGTAGTAGGTACTAAACTCACTATTTTTGGGTCGTAATAAAATTTTATGATTACTGGGTTCTGTTATTAGACGAACAGTGCCTGAACAACCCAGAGTTACAGGATTAACCGAAAGGCTTTAAATGGCGAGGGGTTGGGAATCTTTAACTTTAAAGTTGTAAAATTTTACAAGGACCCAAAAATAGTGAGTTTAGATAGGGTAACCTTATTTGACATACACCTGTTAGAACTTTTATGACTTAAGCGGCTTAAGCCAAACCACCCTTATAAGTCAAACTGTCTATTGTATTACTTAACTCAGTTCACAGCTACATTATGCCAAAAATGGACAATGATAATCTTGCGATTCGGGTCCACAAAGCTTACAATACCCAGTTTGACTTATAAGGGTGCTTTGGCTTAAGCCGCTTAAGTCATAAAAGTTTTAACAGGTGCATGTCAAATGAGGTTACTATACACTTGTATTTCAAAAAGTGTTTTAAATGTTAGTAGTTTTTATTGTATTATTACTATAATAACGTTGACGAGGATTTTTTTAAATTAGCAGCAATTCTTTTAGTTTGTCTATGTTGTTTTTTGGTTGAACAATCTGAGCATACGTCATCGTCGGTCATTTGTAGTGTCAGTACAGTTATTTTATTACAATTATAGTAAATTATTGTTATTTTTCTACGACTTTAAATTAGAACTATGAACTTTTTTGACCCTACAAGAAATAAAGTACTAATATCTTGATTATCTGAAAGGTTTTTCTTATACTGTTATTTTTAAATAATAATATGGAGTTCAGCATTAAGGATTCTAAAAGATCAATCATAGCATTAACGCAGTTTAGCCTGCAGCGACTCTCTTGCTGCGGCGCTTCGCCATCCCTCATGTCATTTAAGAGCAAAATATCAGCTCCAGAATCTATCAAAATCGTGAATTACTCATCGCTTCAACCGTTTCTTGAAATTCTGGCCGTGTACAATGTTCTATTTTCAAACAAATCCAAGATAGATTAAAATGTAATGTCAAAATTTACGCAATATTAATTGACAAAAAGCGTCTTCAGCGCGGTTAATTTCAGCCTATGGCTTAAGTGGCTATTTAGCCACGGCTCATGTCCGTATCTAAAACCCAGCGCCGTCAAGATAATTTAAATGACAATTTAGACACGGGAGTAGAAGACATAGTTTTTTTATTATTTAATTTATATTTATTATTTAGTCATTTCTCGCCGGAAGAAATTCTGTTAATAACAAAAAATACAGAAACAAAATCAAGATTCTAAATAAAAAAATTTAATTGCTGAAAGTAGTCATAGGTAGGTACTTCTTTTTTTTATTTTGCTTTTTTCATTCAAGTGGAGTAACTCATCTTAATAACTTACGGGAGTTTAATTATTATTATATCAACCGCTGTCACTTTCATATATAGTTTTGATGTTGGTATGGTTTGGAAAATCCATAGATATGTCAAATAATGTATGTACTACAAAAAGTCGTCTATTCTGCTATACAGTTTTACAATACTAGACATAATCAGTTGAAACTTTAATTTTTCTATGTCTCAATGTTTGTAAATAAAGAAAAAATACACTTTTCTTTTATCACTTATATAACTGTATATATATCAACATCAAAACATTCTCACAAGAAGTTTTAAGTTATAATTGCCTTAGAAATGATTTTTATACAACAATTTTTCAGGAATGGACAAAGGAAAATTTTCTTCGTTTCCCCGTACCTACCCCGTTAATAAAAAATTAGAAAATTTATTTTTTACTAATCAGACTGGTGAAATGTGTTTATATTTCACTATTCTATAAGAATTAATATGGATAGATATGGAAAAAGTGGAGTACTTTATTTTATGTTACGTCATAAAAAACCTCCCGTTTAGCATCAAAAGAAGTAATTACTTAGTTCCAAATGCTGGTAGTACTTTTTTATGTAAACATTTTCATTGATGAAACTTAATAAAACTTTGAGAGCAAAATAGATACAGGTACTTGTAAAATTGTTCCTCCTGCTCCCTAGTTTTTTCTTAAACACTTTTATATATTATGTAGTTTAATTCCCATTTATTTCTTGTTGCATTTATACAATGTTTTTCTTTGTCTATATAATGTTATCAACTCGAATATCGATTAAATTTATGATTTCATTTGATTGTTAATTTGAAAATGTTTTCATTTCATTTCTTTTTTAGAGAAAAAGAAGTAAATAAATTACTAAAAAACCCCTTAAGAGCAAAATACATTGTTTTTAGATATAATAATGAACTAAATCGTACAAAAATTTATCAACTCACAACTTGTATTAAAAATACAGCAAAACTGAAAATCCTCGGTTTAAAATGTTTTTCAGTTTTTTGCATCTTCTCACTAAACTTTCCTCACTAACTCTAGTTAAGAAACGATAAACACATTAAACTTGAAAATTACGAATTTATAGCAATGTGCCCAAAATGATTACTGATCGATCGTAATATGAAAAGTCACGATCGCGAACTTATTAAACAACTACCTGTTGAAAGACATGCAATAACTGAGACCAACAGTAGTTCCGCGTGTTTGCTGGAGTTACGTTCCGCCCCGCTACGCTACAGAAACCAAGTCTTCAGTACTGTTACGTACTCTACTATACACTTTGTCCGTTTGTTCGTAAAGGTCCAGTTACGCCCTCGTCGCCAAAAACAATTTCTTCGTCATTACTGTATTTTTTTTTTGTATAATATATAGGCCAGATTTAAAGCGTTCGCAGAAAGCCACAGATGGTTTGCAACTATTTAAGCAAATCTTGAAAGAGTAAAATTTTTTAGTGATCTATCAAGTTGATAATAACCTATAAAGCTTGTACTGAATTTCAAATTTAATAGTAAAGCTTCTAAGATAAATTTTACAATTTTGAGCTTTTCCTCTAAAAAATTGCATATGTAGGGTTGAAAACATGAGTTCATTGACAGACTATAACTATAGACGCAAGCTGTTTGGAACATTTTGATAGGATTTACATATCTAGCAAAATTTCAAAGCATATGCGGTGCAGTAGTTTCGGAGATTACGTTTTTAATACGATCGCTAACAAACGGACGGAAACGCGAGATTGACATAAAATTTTATGATGACATCACCAATTTTTTAGCAGTAACAAATATACCAATTTGGTATGTGTTATACTAATAACAACATCACTGTATTACTAGAGTTTGAGGAAAGTGAAATAAGTCATTTTTGACTTATTAACCAATAAAATGACATAATTAGATTTATTCATTATTTTTTTTAGATACCCTGTGTAATCAGTCAACCAAGATGGCAATACCTGTATAAAGTAACTACATGTACAGAATCGTGCTTTTCTGAACATGTCAAATGAGAGTTTTGGTCAGCGGTTTACACTTCCGCGATATCCTTAAACGGTGCACATACAAAATTTAAAAACAATCGATTGTGTAGTTGTAGATAAGTTGTAAAATGTTGTTATACAATTCTGATTTTTGTAAATCTACATGAGCAATCGCAATATTCAAAATAATGCTGGATTAATAAACCACAGGTATATGTAAGGATACAACAGGATATTATATATTTTTTACAATTTATATAAAATTTATTTAACTAAATTTTATGCCGAGGACCAACAAGTTAGTGTTTTACCACCTATACGATATTCTTTAAGTAGATCTAAAATTTCTCAACCATCTGTTTTTCGGTTTCATGGATTACGTATCTAATAAACTTGTCACTGATGATAGACAGAAGCAAAAGGGAGATCTACTTTTATATTCTAGGAGCTAGGAACCCTAATAATATTAAAGTTGTTAAAATAGATAATAACTTCCAATAAGAATCGGGAAACTCAAGACAACTTCAGTTATTTTTCTGTAGAGTTAAATTATATTAATCTGAATGTCCATATAATACAAAATTGAACTGTGCAGTGAACTGATTTTGATACAAGTGCATTTTAATATTGAGAATATTACCTTATAAAAACTATTTCGGTAGCCAACGTTGGACGAAAATGAAAAAAATTAAACGTTAACAATCTCTAATTATCCTAATTTTTATTCTATTCCCAAATTTTCGGAAAAATGGAGTAAGCCGTTTCTGATTTAATCAATAAAAGAGATTCATTAATTTTTTTGAGTCACTCTATATAAGTAATTCTAAAAAAATATAAAAGTGGCCATTCGTCCGATGATGAATATGAATTTAATGTTAATGATCAATTACAAGTATAGACTCATCATATTTTGCGCATTTTCTATAGGATTTGTTCGGCAAAATTTTGAAATGACATCATCATTTTTTAGAGGTGATTCACGGGATATATTCTGATTACAAATTTACAATACTTAGGATAACTTTAAAACGTCTGCAAAATTTCAGAGCATTTGGTTTTGGAGATTATGATTTGATCACTAAAATACATTGACTCATTTTTACTTTTTTTAAGTCACCTGTATAAGCAATTCTAAAAAATATGGAATAAATAAACCATAATTATATTTTGCACATTTTCAATAAGATTTATTTGACAAAATTTTGGGTTGACGTCATCAGGTTTTACGGGGTCGTAAACGGATAAATTTGGTTTACGATTTACCATGTTTCCGATAACCTTAAAGCGTTTGCAAGATTTCAGAGCATTCGTTTTGCAATTTTAATGTCAAATTGTAAACTGTTGTTATACAATTTTGATTTTTTTGCAAAAATCTGGATGGCTAGGATAAAAATTCAATGCGGATTCATAAACTACAGTGGAGGAATATGTTATTTTGTAAAAGTTAGATAACATTTAAATCAGACAAATTTTGGTTAGCATTTTACCATCTACACGATATTTCAAATGTACAAAATTTGACCACAATCGATCCGGTAGTTTAGAAGATATTATTATCTACCTAGTAAAAATCAACACAGATGCGGACAGGAGGCACACGACAGACGGCAGACAAACACACAGAAACGAGAGACCTATGTTTTCGTATTCTAGATGTCTTGAAACGTCGGAAAAAAATAAAGTTGCGAGTCGCCTGATGGACTCGATTACAATACTTCCCTAGCTTAAGAACTCTCGAGAAGTAAAAACATATTAAAAAAATCCAGATCAAATTTTGTTATAAAAATAACATCGCGACGCCACATTTGCATCTGAGGCTACTGTTCAGTTACAGTTTAGGAAGTGGAAATATATCCCATAAAATTTTATTACCAATAACCAAACGGACAGTAGTACAATGATAAGAAATATTTATGGTTCAGATTAGTTCACCGGTTTGTCCAATGTTGAACTCTAACAATTTCCATTTCGTATACAATTAGTTCATGAACTACAAGGGACTGACTTTCCTCGAAGATTAGCATTTTGCATTTTTTGGTGTATTTTTATTTCCTTAACTATGATCAAAATTTGTTCTAAAACTATCGATAATAAAAACAGTTAATGAAAGGTTCTTCAAAATAAGCATTATTTAGTTCATAGAAACTAAAATATCAACAATAAATGAATATGTGGCACACAAATTAAGATAGTTTGGTATACATATGTATTACTTTATTTATGATTCAGATAAAACAATAGTTTGCATACCCCAGACAATTGTAAATAACGTGAATTTTAATGAATCATTTTCTTTTTTATAACAGCAATGTGGGTATGCATGTATACTTTCGCAACGGTACTCACTCTCGTTTAAACTTTTATTTACATATATTATGTCACGAACAGCATGTCAAACATATTCTTCGTTTCTAGGTACTTACAAACTTGATAAAAATAAAGCGATCATGAATTTCTGGATAATTATATGTTTTCAAATACCTAAAGAGAACAACGACATATTTTCCTACGTTTTTAGCGTGCGCTCAGGAAGTATTGTAATAGGGTCCATCCATCTCTTTCATGTTTTTTCAACGTTTCATGACTCCTAGAGTACAAAAAAATTGGTTCCTGTTCTCGTTCCCGTCCGTCCGTCTGTCTGTCTGTTTGTCTGTCTCTCTGCCGTCTGTCCAGATTTTAATATTTTAATTAGATCTTGCAAGTATATTGGAAACTACTAAAGCGATTGTTGTCAAATTTTACATGTATTTTAGGAATATCGTGTAGATGGTAAAACGCACACGAAAATTTACAGTAATAAATAATATTTAAATTGTATAAAATAAGATATTCTTGCACATGTGGTTTATGAATGTGTATTGAGTTTTTAACCTAGACATTTAAAGTATTTTGGAAAAAAATGAAAATTGTATAACAACATTTCGCAATTTAATTTTGAAAATGCAAAACCGAGAGCTCTGGCATCTTGCAAAACGTCTTAAACGTTATCGGAAGCATGGTCAATCGTAATCAAAATTTAGTCGTTTATCCCCTCTCAACAAAATGGATGATGTCATTTCAACATTTTGCCGAATAAATCCTGTCTAAGATAAGATATATTATGAAATTATACTTGTGGATTATTATCAATGTATTCATATTCAAACAGGGTGACTAAAAAAAATGCGTAAGGCAATCTATTTTATTCAAATCAATCTATCAAAAAAAAGGACTTACCCCATTTTCCCGAAAATTAGAGTATGCAGTACCGTTATTATTTGGATTACACTGCAGCTATTCAAATTGTTATTTTTACCTCCCGAACGTAAGCGAAGGAAGTATTGTAATCGAGTTCGTCCACCTATTTTCTACTTTTACGTTTTCTCGAACTTTCATGGCTCCTACAGTACGAAGAAATAGGTCTCCCGTTTCTGTTTGTCCATCTGTCTGCCGTCCCGAATTTTTATTAGACAGATAATCTTCGAAAGTACTGGGCCGATTGTTGTCAAATTTTTTATTTATCGTAGGAATATCATGGAGATGGTAAAACGCTAACCAAAATTTGTCTAATCATCCCACCAATAATGTGAGGACATGACTTTAAAATTGTACTTAGTAAATGGGTTTTAAATTGTATAAAATAAAATAAAAATATAGTTTATGATGCCGTATTATAAAACAACATTTTGCAAGTTAATTTTGAATCTGTAAAACCTGAAATCTTGCAGTTGTTTTAAAGTTATAATAAGCATGATAAATTATTAATCAAAATATACATATTTGCTTATGCCCTCCAAAAAATTGATGACGTCAGCTCAAAATTTTGTCGAATAAATCCTATCTAAAATATCCAAAACACGTGGAGTCTATATTTCTGATTTATTATTTCCTTCGCATTTTTTGGATTTGCTTATACAAGGTGACTCGAAAAAATTAATGGATGCGTGAAGTTATTTTATTGATTACATGAAAAATTGCTAAACTGAATATTTCGAAATCTTGAAGACGTTTTGAAGTTATTGCAAACATGGTAACTTTTTAAGTAAAATGTGTCTGTTTCTCAACCCCAAAAAATTGATATGACTGCCGAATAAATCCTGTCTAAAATGTGTAAAATATAATCAGTCTATATTTGTAATTTATTATTGCATTCATATTTTTTAGATTTGCTTATACAGGGTGACTCAAAAAAATTAATGAATC